GCCAGCTCTGCTCTCCTGGGAAATCAGAGCCACTGGGTAAATTCATTGCACAGCTCCCAAAGGCACACGGGAGCTACGTGGGGACACTGAGGGATAATATTCCAGCAAAGATGTTCAGAGAACTGTGAGAAATCAGTAGTCATCTCTGGGGCTCCTGAGACAGTATCACAACATCTTAACCTGACACAAAATCAAATTTCACTCTACATCCTTCATCATTCTTGAATTGCCCAAGTACAATGGCTGGAACTCTCACAGCCTGGCCCTGGGGACTGAAGACTTCCGGGGGTTATTTAATTTCTAATCATTTCCTACTATTTTACTATTATTTTAATTTGGTTTTCTAATATTGTAATATTACTTTAATTTATAATCCTAGTTTTCTAACATATCTAATATATACACTTTGTCTCGTGTAACTAGCCACTATTTCAGGCTTTGTCCTTCCTTTTGTCACTGTTTGACATCTAACTGCTGGAAGTTGCTGTGAATTTAAAAGCAAAGGGTTACAACTGCTCTGTCTCTAACGAAGGCACTGACATTTCTCTGCAAAGCTCCAGTGTGCTACAACTGCTTTTCGTTCGAAGCAAAGTGTTCTAAAAAGCAACTTCCCCCCCTTAATTTCACAAGTCCCTGAAGTTTTCTAAAGCAGAACGAATTCAAGTTCCTGACTGGGTAGAGAGTGAAACTGGCCAGTGCCTCCAGCCCTTTGGAAAAACTCACCTTTCCATCCCACACCAGAGTGAGGACACTGAGGATGCTTTTTGCAAAGCAAAGCAAAAGCTGGAAGAAAAGAAAGCTGGAAAGACAGTTGGTCCAGAGGAAAAGCTGGAGAGAGGGACAGAATGTGCTGGAAGAAAAGAAAGCTGGAGAGACAGCTGGTCCAGAGGAAAGGCTGTGGAGAGGGACGAATCCCTGGATTATTTTCTCTTACCACGTCACACTCTGCTGTTTGTCCACACAAAAGGCTGAGGAGTCCTCCAGAAGGATTAGAGCTTTTCCTTCAGTTCCTGCTTCAGATGCAAGTGATTCCTGATCTCCTAAAGCCAAGGATGAGGGCGAGTGAGTGAAGGAAGCAGCCACACCTGCATCCTGTGCCCCTGGATCCTCCCACCTCCCAGGAGGATGCCCAGCAGGATCCCTCAGTGCCTCCCACCCTTTGAGTCCTCCCCACACCCTCGGCAACGTGGATCCTCCTCCTCTCTCTGCGTTTTCCTTCCTTAACAGCACAAACAGCCCCTCCCAACCACCCCGTAAATAGGATTCAGTGCTAGGGAAAAAAAGGAAAAAGCAGCTCCAGTGTGGTGTCACAAAGCTGAGCTCATCACTCAGATCCCATGGGAGAGCAACTTCATATCCTCTGGCAGGTAGAGGAACTCAGGGATGAAGAGGAATCGCAGCTTTCTGGTGTCCAGCTCAACAGAAACACTCCAGTTAAACCTGCAAACACAGACCTGTTCTGCCTCAGAAATCCTCCTGATTTCATGCATTTGTTCTATAACTTGCCCTGGCATTTCCCCCACGATATCAAGGCCATCATTCCCTTGCTGCAGGTCCAGGTCAGGCAGCATCGTGGCCAGAATTTGTGATGTTCACTCACAGAAAACAGAGATTCAGGCTGGAGAAAAGCAATGCCAGTGGATTAGATGGAGATGGAGTTCTGTGTTCCAGTACAGAGCTCTTCATCTGACCAAGCTGGACTGATAGCCCAGACTGCAAAGGCTCCAGATGGGACTCCCATAAACCAACACAACAGTGATGCAGTTCAAACTGCATCAAGATTATTTCAAAACCGACCACTTTTTTCAAAGTTGAGCCTTTCAAGTTTTCACTTTGCAGGTGAACATTCCCTTAGTTTCAAACCAATGCTAAGGGCTAAACTGAATTCAGACCAGAAACATTTCGGAGAGCTTTTATTTCAGGCAGCAAAGAAGCACTGGCACAATCCTTTATCCCACACCACCTCTGGATTTCTCAAACCAGTATTCAGCCTCAGGGCTTTTACAAATTTACCAGCCCAAACTACCACCACCTATGGGAACAAAAGCAGAGAAAAAGAAGAGAGGAGAAGGCAAGAAAGAAGAGTTTGTCCAAAGGCTTGAAAATAGAAAGAGGACTTAAGAGGTCTAGTCCAGGCAAAGTGGTTTGCCTCCTCTTTTCCTTTCTTTCCTGGGTGTCCTTGCTCTGTCCCCTCCCTGATCCAGATCCTTTCAAATGAACCATCCCTTCTCTGGAATGTTTCCTTGCACCCCAAACCCGCTCCTCACACCCTCAGCACCCCCAGACC